ACTGCTTGCAGAGGCAAAGGCAATGTTCGCGGCTTTCACTGAGACCCACATAAAGGATCACTTGGACAACGAAATATGGATCCCAGGTTACAACCTATACAGATGTGACAGAGTGAAACAGGCAAAAGGGGGGGTTGGCCTGTACATTGCAGAGTCACTTGTTTGCACAGAAACTGCTAAATGCCTCAAATGATGTAGTGGAAGTTTTAGCAGTAAAGTCGAGAACCAAAACCTAGTCATTGTGATAGTCTACAAGCCTCCGGATGCAACATCCCAGCAATTCCAGGAACAGCTGTTTAAAAATGACCACTGTCTGGAAAACCTTCCAGCTCCAGCACCCAACATCTTGCTCCTGGGGGATTTCAACTTAAGGCACCTAAAATGGAGGAATATAGCAAATAATATTTTTGCAGTAATAACACAGGAGGCGCTCTGATGAAAACTCACACTCACGCGAGCTTTTAAATCTCTGCACAAAATTCAATTTAAACCAGCAAATAATAGAGCCTACTAGACTGGAGAATACACTAGACCTCATCTTCACTAACAATGATGATCTGATAAGAAATATCACCATATCAAAAACAATATACTCAGATCACAACATAATTGAGGTTCAGTCATGTATGCGCGGAGCCCAGACCGACATAAGGAGATTGGTCACGAGGGAGCATTCACCAAATTCAACTTCAATAACAAAAACATAAAGTGGGACCAAGTAACCAAGTCCTAACCGATATAAGCTGGGAAGATATACTAAGCAACACAGACCCCAACTTATGCCTAGAACAGATTAACTCGGTAGCACTCGATGTATGCACAAGGCTTATTCCTCTAAGAAAAAGGAGGAGTAGATGTAAAACAGAAAGAGACAGGCCCTCCCTTACAGGCGACGGAAAAGAATAACAGAGCGGCTAAAAGAGGTCATTATATCTGAAATGCGTAGGGAGACACTGGTCAGAGAAATAGCAAGCATCGAACTTAAGCTAAAAGAATCCTTAGGAGTCAGGAATCGCGGGGAGAACTAAAAGCCATAAATGAAATCGAAAGAAACCCAAAGTATTTCTTCTCCTATGCCAAATCAAAATCGAGAACAACGTCCAGTATTGGGCCCCTACTTAAACAAGATGGGTCCTACACAGATGACAACAAGGAAATGAGTGAGCTACTCAAGTCCCAATATGACTCAGTTTTTAGCAAGCCGCTAACCAGACTGAGAGTCGAAGATCAAAATGAATTTTTTTATGAGAGAGCCACAAAATTTGATTAACACAAGCCTATCCGATGTTATCCTGACGCCAAATGACTTCGAACAGGCGATAAATGACATGCCCATGCACTCTGCCCAGGGCCAGACTCATGGAACTCTGTGTTCATCAAGAACTGCAAGAAGCCCCTATCACGAGCCTTTTCCATCCTATGGAGAGGGAGCATGGACACGGGGGTCGTCCCACAGTTACTAAAAACAACAGACATAGCCCCACTCCACAAAGGGGGCAGTAAAGCAACAGCAAAAAACTACAGACCAATAGCACTAACATCCCATATCATAAAAACTTTTGAAAGGGTCCTAAGAAGCAAGATCACCACCCATCTAGAAACCCATCAGTTACACAACCCAGGGCAACATGGGTTTAGAACAGGTCGCTCCTGTCTGTCTCAACTATTGGACCACTACGACAAGGTCCTAAATGCACTAGAAGACAAAAAGAATGCAGATGTAATATATACAGACTTTGCAAAAGCCTTCGACAAGTGTGACCATGGCGTAATAGCGCACAAAATGCGTGCTAAAGGAATAACAGGAAAAGTCGGTCGATGGATCTATAATTTCCTCACTAACAGAACACAGAGAGTAGTCGTCAACAGAGTAAAGTCCGAGGCAGCTACGGTGAAAAGCTCTGTTCCACAAGGCACAGTACTCGCTCCCATCTTGTTCCTCATCCTTATATCCGACATAGACAAGGATGTCAGCCACAGCACCGTGTCTTCCTTTGCAGATGACACCCGAATCTGCATGACAGTGTCTTCCATTGCAGACACTGCAAAGCTCCAGGCAGACATCAACCAAATCTTTCAGTGGGCTGCAGAAAACAATATGAAGTTCAACGATGAGAAATTTCAATTACTCAGATATGGTAAACATAAAGGAAATTAAATCTTCATCAGAGTACAAAACAAATTCTGGCCACAAAAATAGAGCGAAACACCAACGTCAAAGACCTGGGAGTGATCATGTCGGAGGATCTCACCTTCAAGGACCATAACATTGTATCAATCGCATCTGCTAGAAAAATGACAGGATGGATAATGAGAACCTTCAAAACTAGGGAGGCCAAGCCCATGATGACACTCTTCAGGTCACTTGTTCTATCTAGGCTGGAATATTGCTGCACACTAACAGCACCTTTCAAGGCAGGTGAAATTGCCGACCTAGAGAATGTACAGAGAACTTTCACGGCGCGCATAACGGAGATAAAACACCTCAATTATTGGAGCGCTTGAGGTTCCTAAACCTGTATTCCCTGGAACGCAGGAGGGAGAGATACATGATTATATACACCTGGAAAATCCTAGAGGGACTAGTACCGAACTTGCACACGAAAATCACCCACTACGAAAGCAAAAGACTTGGCAGACGATGCACCATCCCCCCAATGAAAAGCAGGGGTGTCACTAGCACGTTAAGAGACCATACAATAAGTGTCAGGGGCCCGAGACTGTTCAACTGCCTCCCAGCACACATAAGGGGGATTACCAACAGACCCCTGGCAGTCTTCAAGCTGGCACTGGACAAGCACCTAAAGTCAGTTCCGGATCAGCCGGGCTGTGGCTCGTATGTTGGTTTGCGTGCAGCCAGCAGCAACAGCCTGGTTGATCAGGCTCTGATCCACCAGGAGGCCTGGTCTCAGACCGGGCCGCGGGGGCGTTGACCCCCGGAACTCTCTCCAGGTAAACTCCAGGTAAACCTGCGCACAGAAATCACCTCCGGGTACACGCTAGACAGGATGGTATATAAATCAGGGGTGGATGGAAGGGCTGAAGGGAGGGGAAAGTGCTCGTTAGATTAGTGGAGGAGGCGGGGTAAGTGTTTTTCGTAACTTGACGTGTTAGCGAGGTAACTTTTACAAAGAGATTAAAAGAAATCGATTCATCAGACTTGAGTCGTGGAGGAGGGAAGAGCGATGCCTTCATCCTGAACGAGAGGAGGTGATGGTGGACATCAGGATGTCTGAACTGTGATGCCAAAACAGTGACTGAATGAGTGACTGTGAATACTTTTCCTCTTTATTTTTTCTGGTGGAGAGGAGGGCAGGTGGTAGAGGGTCACCTTATCTCGGTTGGAGACGGCGGGTGTGATACGAGATGATGGAAGGTGAGAGTAACAGTGATAATATTTGATATTACTACCAGCCATCACCTGGCCAAGCTGCTACACTCACTTTCCTGTCCAGCTGCTGGTCTGTCTGAGAAAGAGAGAGAGAGAGAGAGAGAGAGAGAGAGAGAGAGAGAGAGAGAGAGAGACATGTTAAAGACAGAAAAGACTTAGAAGTCTACACCGAGCCCGTCTACAGAAAACTATTTACTTCTGTCTAGAATAATAAATAATATATTATCTAGGTGTGTAATTCAAAGACAGTAGAGCAGAAGGTTCCCTCCCCACCCTCCACTCCCGGCCGTTGCTGCCATGATAACACCAGGGAACAATGTACTAACATACTATTTTGGAAAATTAGATTGGAATTTACATAAGATATAATGGGATGGAAGATTAGTGGGTTTTGGAAGGAAAGTGGGTCCTGGAGTTAGAACTGGAGGTATTCTAGGTTCCATGAGCTGTAGTTGGATGTTGGCTGGGTCCCAAGAGCTGTAGTTGAAGGTAGGTTGGGCCCCAGGAACTGGAGTTGGAGGTAGGCTGGGTCCCAGGAGCTGGAGTTGGAGGAAGGCTGGGACCCAGGAGCTGGAATTGAAGGTAATCTGGGTCCCAGGAGCTTTAGTTGAAGGTATGCTGGGTCCCAGGAGCTGTAGTTGGAGGCAGGCTGGGTCCCAGGAGCTGGAATTGAGGGTAATCTGGGTCCCAGGAGCTAGAGTTGAAGGTAGGCTGGGTCCCAGGAGCTGTAGTTGGAGGCAGGCTGGGTCCCAGGAGCTGGAATTGAGGGTAATCTGGGTCCCAGGAGCTGGAGTTGAAGGTAGGCTGGGTCCCAGGAGCTGTAGTTGGAGGCAGGCTGGGTCCCAGGAGCTGTAGTTGGAGGTAGGCTGTGTTCGCCATCAATAGGCCTAAGACATCCTTCACCTCTCCCCAAAAAGTATCCTTTTTTCCCCTCGTTTCACTCACTTTCGTTATGATTTCAATATCTTCGTATGATCCCAGCATTATTAAAAACTCAAAAATTCCATAATCCAAAAGGGGGAAAAATATATTTTCAATATAAAACCCACAGATGCTGCCAAAAATTTTGCACGAGTCACTGAAGAGCACATTAATAACGGCTACAAATAGGCGCGGGGGGGGGGGAAGGGGGAAGCGAAAATATTTGGCATATGAACGTTATCAATATGTTAATGTTCGTTCAGGAGGACCAGCTGGGATGGGTGTCCACCTGCGCTGGGCCGCACACCTGCCCGCCTCCACCAATCACCATCCAGCTGGCCTCACAGTTGCCACTTACTGATCAACACCTCTTCACTACATCTATTTTAATTACCCTCTAGAGTCTGTTTATGGCAGCAAGGCCACATATAATTACGCTCTGTCTACCACTGAATTTTTTAATATTGCTTTTGAGGCAATTAAGGAGGTTAATCTCATTATGAAAAGAAGATAAACTCAGCATCCGATCTCAGCATCACGTGGAGTACAGCCAATCACCTACCATCTTTTGCCTTTGGCTCCTCCCTGTAAGCAATCTCGCCGGGCCTCGCTTGAACATGTTAGTATTTAACAAATAAATATGATAAAACACGTTGAAAGTACATAAAAATAAAATTTTTGTACTACCATTAATGTCCTGGTGTTGTATAATATCTGTTATTTGTAGAAATACGAGAGAAAAACGTCAGTTTTAGTTACTAGCGGTGGGCGAAACAAATAGGAACGAGATGAAGGTCTGAGAGAGTGAGGAACGCGCGTGCCCAGGAAGACTCTGTGTATACGCTCTGTATATATATATATACGCTAGTGTTACAACTGGTGGCGGGCGCGACCGAGGTGGCATACCCACGGTGTTAGTGAGCCAGTGGTAGTGTTAGTGACATGTGCTAGCCTTGACCAGGTGTGTAGCAGCGTGTGCCATAAGAGGATTACGGAGAGTAAACACAATGATGATCACCATCTGGATGCTGTTGTCTACTGTGTTATCGGTGGCCCTGATGGCACAGGATGCCTCAGGAGCGGCCCTGCAAGGCCAGCCACGGCAACACAGACACCACAGGAGACGGGATCAACTGGCCCGCCTTCAGGATACCGTCGACAATCTCCTCCTCCGGCAGGAGATCGACCACATACTCCTCACAAACCTGCAGAGGGAGGTGGAGGAGCTCCGGGAGGGCAAGAGTGATGAGCATCTCAAGGCCGCTGCTTCATCTGGCGCAGAGACGCCCTTCGCAGCCTCCGTCAGGATGATGGAGACGGAAGGGCGAGCCCTGGCTGCCCTGGGGGAGAGGGTGGCGGAGATGAGGGAGACGATGACAGAGACGCTGCAGACGGAGAAACACAGGGATGATATCACTCAGCTTAAACAGGAGGTCACCTACCTCAGGTAACTTATTACACCACCTTCCTCATTCTTCTAAAGCAACAACAGCAGTAGTGTAATAGTAGTAATAGTAATAGTGGTAGTGGTGGAGTGGCAGTGGTGGTAGTAGTAGTGGTGGTGGTGGTTGGAGTAGTGAAGTGGCAGTGGTAGTAGTAGTAGTAGTAGTGGTGGTGGTGGTGGTGGTGGTGGTGGTGGTAGTAGTAGTGGTGGTGGTGGTGGTGGGTGTGGTGTGGTAGTAGTAGGAGTAGTAGTAGTAGTGGTGGTGGTGTAGTAGTAGGAGTAGTAGTAGTAGTAGTAGTAGGTGGTGTGGTGGTAGTAGTAGTGGTGGTGGTGACGTAGGATATTAGTAATAGTATGTGAATGGTGGTAGTGGTGAGTAGATCGATACTTTTCGTGAAAAACTCTGAAGTCATTGTTGAAATCGTCGATACGTTGATGTCACAAATAAACACTCCTTGATACCTTGATGTCACTGATAAACACTCCTTGATACCTTGATGTCACTGATGAACACTCCTTAATACCTTGATATCACTAAAAACACTTCTTGATATGTTAGTGTTACTGATAAAAGCTCCTTGATACAGTGGCGACACCCTGACTTTACTGACGTCATTGCTGGCAGCATAGTGTTGCTGATGTCATGGCAGCCATGCGTCACTGATGCCATTGATGGCAGCCATGTGTCACTGATGTCATTGATAGCAGCAATGTGTCACTGATGTCACTGATGGCAGCCACGTGTCACTGATGACAGCCATGCATCATTGATTTCATTGATGGCAGCCATGTGTCACTAATGTCATTGATAGCAGCAATGTGTCACTGATGTCACTGATGGCAGCCATGCGTCGCTGATGTCACTGATGACACTAGATTTTGTTGTTCGTTGTTACTGTTATTCTTTTGATTTCCTTTTTCTTATAAATAGGAAAAAAATTGTGGAAAATAAAAATAGAGAGAATAAGAGGAGAGAAGAAAAATGAGAGAGAGAGAGAGAGAGAGAGAGAGAGAGAGAGAGAGAGAGAGAGAAGAGAGAGAATGAGGAAGAGAGAGAGAGAGAGAGGAGAGAGAGAGAGAGAGAGAGAGAGATGACGATGTACTGCGCCTCTAACTACTGTCTATGAGATCAGTGGACTACTACTACTGTTACTACTACTGCTCCTGCTACTACAGCTGCTGCTACAACTACAACTGCTACCATTGCTGCTGCTGCTGCTGTTTCTCCTGCTGATGCTATTATTATTATTATTATTATTATTATTATTATTATTGTTGTTATTACACATAAAAATACGGAGTTTTGTAAGCACATCATTATCCATATATTAATAACGAGAATATGAATCATTTGCCATAGCATCATGTTCTTCATCTTCACCTTCATTTTCCTTCTTTTCTCTTCTACTTTTATACTATAAACTTATTTCACTTTCACGTAAGTTCCTGCATTGTTCTTACATATATATATATATATATATATATATATATATATATATATATATTATATATATATATATATATATATATATATATATATATATATGTCGTGCCGAATAGGCAGAACTTGCCATCTTGGCTTAAATAGCAACGCTCATCTTGCTATATAGGACAAATGAAAATTTGTGTATGCAATAATTTCGCCAAAATCATTCTGAATCTAACGAAAAAAAATATATTTCACTGTGTTTTGTTTAGTATTGAAATTATTGTAAACAAATCTAAAATATATTTAGTTGGTTAGGCTAAAATAAATTTCTTGTTGTAATAAGGTTAGGTAAGTTTTCTAAGATTCTTTTGGAGCAAAATTAAAAAATTTACATTAACATTAATGAAAAAATATATCTTTAAAGGTATAAGAGAAAATTTTAGAAAGGACTTAATTTTAAATGAGTTCTTGCTAATTGACCAGATTTACATATTCGGCACGACATTATATATCAAGTATATGATATCATATATTATATATATATATATTATATATATATATATATATATATATATATTATAATTTATATATATATATATATATATATAATATATATATGCAAGGAATTCGCAAGAGCAGGAGAAATATACACAACACTGATCTCTGGCTGAAGGAGACTCGAACCTACGAACCTTGGAACAAAGTATGCAGTGCTTTACCAATCTACCCACACTGGACAATACCTTGGAGTCCAGCATGCGCTAGACTTTGATCCAAGGCAGCCAGCTTTCAGGGAGAATGCTTACAGCTTTTCCAAGGTTCGTAGGTTCGAGTCTCCTTCAGCCAGAGATCAGTGTGTGTGTATATTTCACCTGCTCTTGCGAATTCCTTGCATTGTTCAAATCTCTAGTAAGGCTGATGCATGCAGGGGATGAGATGAAGCTTAAGCCTTCTCCCTGAAAGCTGGCTGCCTTGGATCAAAGTCTAGCGCATGCTGGACTCCAAGGTATTGTCCAGTGTGGGTAGATTGGCAAAGCACTGCGTACCTTGTTCCAAGGTTCGTAGGTTCGATATATATGTTTGTGTTGGTGTGCGTTATATATATAATGTTGTGTGAGTTGTGGGTGTATTTATTTGTTTGTTTGTTTGTTTGTTTGTGTGTGTGTGTGTGTGTGTGGTGTGGTGTGTGTGTGTGTTGTGTGTGTGTGTGTGTGTGTGTGTGTGTGTGTGTGTGTGGTGTCGAATAGGTTAAAATTGGTCAATTAGCAAGAACTCATTTAAAATTAAATAATTTCTAGAATTTTCTCTTATTTTCATATATGTTAATGTAGAATTAATAATTATGTACCAAAAGAACCTTAGAAAACTTACCTAACCTTATTATAACAAGCACAATTTAATTTAGCCTAATCCAACAAAATATACTTTTAGATAAGTTTACAATAATTTAATAATAAACAAACACAATGAAATATATTTTTTCTTCGTTAGGTTCAGAATGATTTTTGCGATATTATTGCATTTACAAAATTTTTCAAGTGTTTCGTCCGAGTATACAACCTGTGTTCTCATTGGTTATCAGTAGTCGTTATCTGGGATATTCGTCGGTGTTATCACCGCCTTTGTTTACCTTATCTCAAGTTGGGCAATTTAATATTTTTAAAGTGACCTTTGTATCGAGGCGGTACCGAGGGAAGGTACCTTTGTACAGATGTGCTTGGAGACAGCAGAGAGTACGTGGAACTCCACCATTAATTAAAACCTTAAAATGAGACACACGTGTAGGGTACCAGGGTATTTAATGATGATCGAAACGTCTCGTTAATAATTATAGTCTCGCTGAACCCACTCGTCGGCAAAAAGAAAAAAAAACACCTTTATGTTGCATCTCTTGCCACTGAGTTTCACGCTGTTATGTCGCCTTCCTCTTACCTTTCACTTCAAACTGTTCCTGGTATCAGGATTTACCATTTTTTTTTAAGTACCTTCAATACCTGAATGAGATCTCAGATTTTCCACTGTTATGAGAGAGAGAGAGAGAGAGAGAGAGAGAGAGAGAGAGAGAGAGAGAGAGAGAGAGAGAGAGAGAGAGAGAGAGAGAGAGAGAGAGAGAGAGAGAGAGAGAGAGAGAGAGCAGTTTGAGTGCTTTACTTACTAAAGAGATTTTTAAAACTTCCTACGTTCACTTTCTTGACTAAGAAAGTCTTTAGTGCCCGGCACAACACACTTTCTTCCTCTCCTTTGACTTTCTACTTCTGGCACTGAAGTGCGTCCAGTGAGCACAAGAGAAGAGGTAGTGAGGAAGAGTAGTGAGCAGGGACGAGGAGGAAGAGTACGGGTGAAGAAGAATAGGAGTAGGGATGAGAGGGGAATAGAAAGGACGAAGAGAAAAAAATGGAGTAGGGATGATTGGGAATAATTGTAGGGTTTGAAGAGGAACAGGAGAAGTAAAGTTGTATAAATATTGGAAAGATGAGTAAGACTTTAAAACTAAAAGAGAGGAAAAGATATTAACAGAAGATTGAGGAGGAGGAGGAATGGGCGAGGAGGGAGAAGGAAGGGGGGAAGGAGGAGGAAGATGAGAAGGAAGGAGGAGGAAGGGAGGAGAAGGAACGGGGAGGAGAAGGAACGGGGAGGAGAAGGAGGAGAAGGAGGAGGAGGAGGAGGAGGAGGAAGAGAAGGAGGAAGAGGAGGAGGAGGAGGATAGGGGGAGCAGGGGAAGAGCCCTTCCCTCCCCCCTCATGTCTGACCTCCGCCCTCCCTTCACTAATGTCACTTCCTTCCAACTCCTGTAATTGTTGGGGGAGACGAGTACATCCCCTGTACACCTGTGTACACTTCTGTACACCTGTGTACACTTCTGTACACCTGTGTACACCCCTGTACACTTGTGTACATCTCCACTAAAACCTTCATTGCTCACTGTTTATGACGTAAACCAAAATTTGAGCCTTGCAAAACACACACACACACACACACACACACACACACACACACAACACACACACACACCACACACACACACACACACATTTCTTCCTGCCTCGATGATATTTTATTTAACTCAATCAAAATTCCACTTCAAGAAAAAAAGATCACATGAAAAGTCTCGCAAAAACTACAAAAACAATCTTATGGCAAAATGAAGAAAAGAAATGTCTATAACTTAAATAAATATGTAATGAGTTGGACACGTTAAAATAGTGAAAGATGGATAACGGAATTTAATGGAGTTTAATGCCATATAATGGCATTAAACTCCATTAAAACAGGATCAGAACACAAGAATCATGTAGATCGAGTGACAAAATATTTAAAAGGTATCAGGCTGGGTAAGGTATGTAGGATAAGCGGGATGTAGGATAAGCGGGATGTAGGATAAGCGGAATGTAGGATAAGCGGGTAGGATAAGCAGAATGTAGGATAAGCGGAATGTAGGTAAGGGGATATAGATAAGCGGGATGTAGGATAAGCGGGATGTAGGATAAGCGGGATGTAGGATAAGCGGGATGTAGGATAAGCGGAATGTAGGATAAGCGGGATGTAGGATAAGCAGATGTAGGATAAGCAGGAA